TTAATGGATTATGCAATTAGGCTCTAGAAGCAGCTAGCTGTTCACTACTTTGAAAGTCCTATTAGGTTTCAAATGTTGACCAATTGCTTCTTACCGTAAAAGTTATGTTGCATGATACAAATGGCTTATTGGACTTTAAAATACAGCATGCAATTGGTTCCTTTAAGAAATAGTTTTAATTTTTTTTTTTAATCACAAAAGGGTCATGATAACTGTCTTCTTCTGTGTAAGAGTTCTTTTTGTTAACATCTCTACGTCTTTTATATATTTAAATAAATACTTGTCTTTAGATTATAAATAAATAAAAGTGATACTTGCTACACGGTTAGCTTTCTTGACCAGTTGGTAATGATAACTGTCTTCTTTTGTTGATATGTTTTTTGTACTACCCCTAACATTTTTCTTTCTACTATGATCTTATACCTTCCATACTTTCACTCTCTTTATTTGAATTATCATGGAATATTATTTTTACTATCACAAGGATCAGAAATATGGAACACAATCTTGTGTCAAGAACCAAGCATCTTGAAGGATTCCTATTTGGAAAGTTAAGGCTTTTGCATCTGAATTCTATCAAATTACTTGTCATTCTTGTGTAAAGACCCTTCATTCCAAGAGGCTCACTGGAAGAGGCTATTTCCAGTCACGTTTTTATAGCATGCCTTTGATACTGATTTTTAATTTCTTGATTTGCTGAACAGCTTGATGAAGAATTCAACTTTAGAATATAAGACTGTGACTTTATTAGTCAGCATTATGTAATCAATGTGTGTGATGTCTCATTTAATCTTGTATAAAAGATCTTCCAACTTGAAATCAACATTTTTGTCCTTTTTTTATTTTTCTCGTTAGCTGTCACTATATTTCTATCTGTGCTGGATCAAAGCCCTCTTACTGTTTAGTATTTGCTTGTTTATATATATTGTGCTCATTTGGTTTCGTACTTTCAACGTTTCTCTCAGGAGCAACAAGGAGAAGTTGCAATCACAACAAGCATGTCAAATCCATCATATAAACTGGAAATTTCTTCTTCAGTTCCATCTGCTGGTCTGGTAAGTTTGTTGGTAGTACTGCACAAATTGCTACCAAAAAGTGTCTTGCAGTGAAATAAAGCTGAAATGATTTTCTTTTTCTGATTTGATATCATTTTATATAAGGTATACCTGTGCTGCCTTATTTGTGAAGATGCTTAGATGAACTTGATAATCTTTGTAAATATAATATTCACTCTAGGGTAATAATTGCTCCAGAAATTTGCCAACTAGTTGTTTGCGAAGATTGTGCCTAAGGGCACATCATCAATCTTACATTTACAGTAAATCTGTAATCTTTCATAAGTTAAAGTTCAAGTTATACAATTAATTAAAGGTTGTCCAATGCATGATCCTCCTGCTAATTGGGAGCTCCATAGTCTGTTAGTTGCTCCTTACAGACTAAACAATATGTTTCATTTTGCATATATGGTAAGTGTGGTAAGTGCTAATTCTTAATAGTCGCTCCTCATCAGCTCATGGTCTTCAAAATGTGTTTTTGCTCCTGATTTAAGCATGTTATGACAATTGGGACACAGCTTTTGATGTTCTCCAGCCTGTATGCCTATGTCAAGGATTTAACTATGGTCTGTATCCCGTATGGTGTTGCATCATACCAGGATGGTATGTTGCATACTATGTGATATACTACAATATACTGCTGGAGAAAAATCATAAAAAATGGCTAATGTGTTGATATACCCTAGCATGGTTGGTATATATAGTATTGATATTTGAATTTATGACTACATGTTTGTGTTTTTTCTGATATAATGCACATTGAGGAGTGGAATAACTACAAACTCTACTTGTGCAGCCAAAAACAACTGTCCACTTCCCCCTTGGCGAAGTTTCAGTGGAGAGGAAAGACCAGGAAACTGAGAAAGCACTATCCATAAATGGAATCCTGAAAGGTGAGCTGCTGAATGGAGTTTGTACTGCATTATACAGGGATGAGGATCTTAATCTGAGATACTGCTACAAGGTAATAGTCAGTCTCTGCCTCCCTTTGTTCTTTGTATTTTGACTAGTGACTAAGCTTTTTCCCTTTGAAGATATATTGCTGAAGGATGATTTTGTTTGAAACTGGTTACATTTATAGGATGATGAGATGTCATTTATACCCAGCATCTCTTTACCATCAAATGCATTATCCTTGGCATTCAAACGCCGTTTCAGTCCCTCAGACAAGTTGAGGTTAGCAATTTGTCCATGTTTTTCAGTTTGTGCTGTTTCATATTACTTTATTTCATATTTTTGTTCATCCACTTGTCTTGTCCGTAGCAGAAGTTAGAATATCCTTTGTTTTAAAAGAAATCTGTCAAGACTGTAGGCTGGAAAAGATTTGATCAACTCAATTTGTTAGCCTGCTTATTAGGTGCTGTTAAAAAAATGTTAGACTAAATGTTTGTACATAATAAAATTGCATTAAAATCAAAACAAATTCTTGAATGTTAATTAACATATGCTATTTAATATTTTATAATTTAGGGTGATATTAGGAGCAAGCACAGGTGCTTGTCACCCATAGAGATACTTTTGAAGAGTAATCTCTGGAGGGTGGTGATCTTAACAACATGTTGATTGGTTCTGGATGTTGTAGTAATCATAATCCATGATATTTCTTTGGATCCTTTTATTGGCAGAGCAACAAGGTAGATAAACCTTTAAAGCAAGGGCTAGACACAGGATTTAGAAGATCTTGGATCAGAGGATAAGGTTCAAGGAAGAAAAAACATCAGAGGAAGAAGATAATAACCTTGGCCAACAGGCTAAAGTATTCATTAATCAAAATATTATTTGCATATACCAAGCCATTATTCTTTCTCTTAAACATATAATGAGACGAGGGCTCCTATCCACCATGTACTCAAAGAAAAAGGTAAGGAAGCAATAAGTTACCATATGGAGTTAATTGTGCCTGCTATAATACTATTGCTTCTGTGGTACCAGCAAATGGTATATAATTACTGTGATTCTAACATGTGAAAACATGTATCCTTTAGAAATATGACAACTTGATGCCTCGATGAACTTTCTGGAGCATTTACTCCCTACAAATGTTTTCACCAATGTTCTAATTTTTGTAAGAACGTTGTACCACTGAACTGAACAGTAATTGGTGTAAAAAAGGATTCATGTAGGTTACCCAGATGGTTGGAACCGAAGTCTTGGTTCTGTTGTTCACCATGATGACCACTGCTTGTTGTCTTATGTATTCTTGCTTTCCCATATACTACTGATCATATAGTGCTTTTTGATGTAATATCATCCACAAAATTGTAGTTTTAATAGATTGGAGGACCGCTATTAATATATTTCCTTACCCAATTTTTTTTTCCCAGCTACTGGTACCACTTTGACTCTAGTCAGTGGAGTATGGTGTACAAGCACACTGTTGGTAAAGACCTGAAGTTCAAAGCTGGTTATGATTCTGGGGTGGGACTTGGATGGGCATCTCTTTGGGTATGTTTGACTTCACAATATCCTGTTTAAACAAACTGCATCTATTTCAACTAACAAAAGCAAAATATGAGGGAAAAGGTTCTCTGACATGCCAATACAAAGAATAACAAAGGATTTGTGGGTATGACTGAATTCTGTTGAGATTACACATTCATAGTAACTTTATATTGGCAATCTTGAGAACGGTGGTATGTTACTGCTAGATGTTCCACTCGATTGAATTAGAAACAATTTCCTGCTTTCTAATTTTTCTTCTAACAAAGTAAATGATATTTGGGGACTGCAATTCTTGTGAAGGTTGGAGATGAAGATGGCAAGACGAAGACAGCTCCGTTGAAGACGAAAGTTCAGTTTATGCTCCATGTACCGCAGGATGATATCGGCAATTCTTTGTTGATGTTTCGAGTTAAGAAAAGGTGGGACTTCTAGTTCTCCATTATATTCTTTGCTCGAAGAGGAGGTATGACGACAGGTATCTGTCTTTTGTCTGTCAAACGTTTTGGCTACAACTTGCTACCATATTTTAGATGTCAATGATCTTTTTCACCAAGAATTCAGCTTGTTTTTCTATTACTATGTTACTTGATACAGAGGGAGAGAAGACATCAACCAGACTTATTTGATTAAAACCTCAATTGTTACCAAGGAGAAAGAGACTAAAAACCTTTTTTCCTGATCCCTAATATCAACTTCAGCCAACTAAAATGTTAATTGCAGTCTTTTCCTTAATGTATATATCTTAGTGAAGATATAGAACTAATTACACACATTTTGGTAAATCAGTAGGACCATTCCATGTGCACTTAAGATGCATTTTTGCTTTGATTGTGTACAGGTGGATGAATCAATGTAATCATATAAAATGTATATTATGTTAAAAGACACAAGTCTATAAATAGCTTATTCATCATACCCACCACTCCATTCAACTCTATAAATAGCTCCCACAATTAGCATTTACACAGAACCAATTTCTACAGACACCACACAACAGGAAGATTTCAGCAATTTAATATTCTCTTTGATTACTGAACATGTTCTTCTTTATCTTAATTGAAACTTACAGCTACAATTACATATGTAAAGAGATAAAATAGTTGTACTTGTGATTGTTACAAATAACATTCATTTATTGCTTGCAAACTAAACATCCCTAAGTTCATGAATTGGAGAATGATTGCTAAGAGTTATGGTTGATTCATCTCAAGCAATTACTTGTATTCTATTCTAAAAAATTCGAGCCTATCCAATTTACTTCTACATAAGATACAATTAAGTAGATATTTAGATCATTAATCGCGATCAAATTTGTGTTTCATTAATCAAATTTGTGATTTAAATTGATTTTGCTTAAATCGTACGGTATCAGAAGTGGGTCAGTCTTTTTTGACCTCTCACATCCGTTGGATTGTTATTGACATGCAAACGTGGACGATTGATTGAATAGGAAAATTAAGTATTTGGGATTAAAAATTGGGAGGAATTAATCGTCTGATGAAAACCGGAAAGGAAGAAAATAATTGGAAATTTGGAGTCGCCGACCCTTTTCATCGTCAGGTCAAAGACGTAACCCCCGAAGTCGTCGTCTTCTCTCTTCCCCAAAAGTCACCACCGAGAACAGAGGAGGAGGCGGTCGGAGAGATGGGCGCATCGGATGCGGGTTGCGGCGATCTCCCTCCCGTTCTCTCCTCCTTCGTCGACGCCTTCGTCGACTTCTCCGTCTCCGGCCTCTTCTTCCCCACCAACCCTACCCCTAGCCCCGCCCCCGCCGCCACACGCATTCCCGCCCCTGCCCGTCTCGTGGCGATCGGTGACTTCCACGGCGACCTCCCCAAGGCCCTCCAGGCCCTCTCGCTCGCCGGCCTCGCTGACCCCTCGTCCGCCCGCTGGACTGGCGGCGCCGCCGTCGCCGTCCAGGTCGGCGACGTCCTCGACCGCGGCGGCGACGAACTCCGTCTTCTCTACCTCCTCCACCGCCTCAAGCTTGACGCCGCCGCCGCCGGCGGCTCCCTCCTCACCCTCCACGGCAACCACGAGGTCATGAACGCCGACGGCGACTTCCGCTACGTCACCCGTGCCGGCCTCGAGGAGTTCAGGGGCTGGGCTTACTGGTACCGCTCCGGCCTCGCCATGAAGCGCCTCTGCAGCGGCCTCGACCCCCCGAGGGACCCCTTCAGGGGCGTCCCCAAATCCTTCCCCGGGGTCAAGGAGGAGTTCTGGGAAGGGTTCCGCGCCCGCATCGCCGCCTTACAGCCGAACGGCCCGATCGCCTCACGATTCCTCGCCGGCAACCAGACCGTCCTGCTGGTCGGTGACTCGCTGTTCGTCCATGGCGGGCTTCTCCAGCAGCACATCGATCACGGGCTGGAAAGGATCAACCAAGAAGTCAAAGACTGGATAATGGGGCTCAGCGGGAGGCGATCGCCGTCCTACCTGAGAGGGCGGGACTCAGTGGTGTGGCTGCGGAGGTTCTCGGATGGACCAAATTGCGACTGCGGGCAACTCGAGGAGGTGCTCTCGATGATCCCGGGCGCAAGGAGGATGGTGATGGGGCACACCATACAGGATGAGGGAATCAACGGGGTGTGCGAGGACAAGGCGATCCGGATCGACGTGGGGTTGTCGAAGGGGTGCACAAACGGGCTGCCGGAGGTGTTGGAGATCAACGCCGGCGACCATCCGAGGATCTTGACATCGAATCCACTGTCGGACGATCGTTGGAAGCAAGAGCAGAAGCGGCAGCCAGTGGTTAAGGAGCAGGTGAAGGAAGGGCTTGCCATTTTGGTCCCGGAGATTAGATTGAAGGAAGTGGAGACCAAAGGTTAGAAGGACTGCAATGGATATCTATCTATCTATCTATCTATATCTATCTATCTATTCATCGAGCTCATTGGAAGATTGATGCAGGAGTTAACATTGATGTGGCAAAGACCTTACTATATTTGGCTATGAAGGTTAGATTAGCACATCATTCATTCTTTCTGCTGTAGGATTTCAGCAGGTGATGGAGAATGGAATTTGGATGAAAAGTGCAGCCTGAGATTTGATATTGGAAATTGAATTAGATGTGTTAAAGCACCGCTAATTACAATGATTGTTATTCACTTGCCTATTTGAGATGATGATGATGATAATAGTTTAAAGCATACTTATTTTGTGCATTTTCCATTGTGTAGTGAATGTTTGCTGTGTTGGAAATGGAATTGGATGTTTTATTCTGTGATTTGTCTGGTGCAGATTCAAACCTACCTATCATGTAGTTTTTGTCAGTGCCAACTATTGCTCACTTACTTTTGTTTGCATGTTTTAGTCTTATTTGAATTGATATTATATATATATATATATATATATATATATATATATATAT